GAGGTGAGGTAGGTCTGAAAAGTTGTGACTCACTTTTTGTCAGATGGGTGAAAGAGAACATTGTGTCTATGACCAAGGTGTTTATCAAGTATGGATGTGTCATTGGTAACACAAGAGACACACTTGATGGCTTGAGATTTCTGGATGAACATGAGTACCCTTGTCACCATTTTCAGTTGAAACAACAGTACTCTGTGATCTTAGAAACTGTATAAGAGTCTCTGCATTCTGGTTTCTGCCATAGAGTTTCTGATTCTTGTCATTTCTTTACTGAAAAGAGCACTAGAATCATCTTTGCTCTAATTACATGATTCTGGGTGGGCTCCTGGATGGCTCCTGAATGGGGATGGTCGCTAGAAAGTCCAACCCATGGTCAGAGGCTGGGAATCTTCACATCCTCATACTTGAGAGAGGTGGGAAAGGTTGACAGTGTAGTTAATGTCCGGCCATGTCTACTTGAATCCTCAATAAAACCCCAAAGTACAGTGTTTGAAGAGCGTCCAGTTTGACAAGCACGTCCATACCCAGAACATGATGCCTCTCCACTCCACAGGGACAGAAGCTCTGGTGCTCGGGACCCTCCCAGGCCTCACACTCGGTGTCTCTTCATTTCCTTGCTCACCTATCCCTTTATCATATCCTTTAATGAACTGACAAAAGGGATTAGTGTTTTCCTGAGTTCTGTGAGCCACTCTGGTAAATTAATAGAACTCAAAAAGGGAGTTGTGGGAACCTCTAACTTGTTGCAAAGTTGGACAGAGGATATAGGTAAGCTACTAGTTGCTGTTGGCATCAAAATGGGAGCAGCGTCCTGGCACTGAACCCTTAACCTGTGGATATTACACGATTTCCAGGCAGATAAACCTTGGTGTTAAATTCAGGTAAATTATAGGACACTCACCACATGTCCTAGAGATTTTCTTGTTGTGAGAAACAAATAAACAAACAAACAATTGAGGGCTAGGAGTGTGTAAAGTGAAGTATTCTGTGTATAGTATAGGAGACACAATAAGAGAGAGAGACTGAGGTTTATGCTGTAAAATTATTTATTCTCCAGACACCATAGGCCTGTGCAGTTGGGCTCTATTGCCTCACTTGTGTGTGCTCCTGGGATACTTGTGCTGTCTCAGGAATAGCATAATCTCTGTCTTATCCTTCCCCCTCAAGGTCACGTGTCTACAGAGGACTCTCTCTCCTACAGGAGGCTCCACAGAAGTTTCTCAATAAAAGATGCTCAGAGACAAGGGTTTCAGTCCCAAGAGTTTTTGTCTCACTTCTTTATTGTCTGAGACACTGTAAGGAAAGCTGCTCCCACTGCCATGATCTATAGCACAGTAAGAGCTTCATCCTTAGGCTGCTCATCAGAGATAAGCCAAATTCCTGCATTGGCCCACGCATCTTTGGATTCAGAGAAACCACTGGGGACCCTGGAACCCTGGCATATATTTGAGTCAGAGAAGAACCACAGGAGACCAGGGAGAGCTCCCTAGCTTCTTCTGTAACCAAGTTATAGAATAAGTCAGGCAGAGAAGGACAAATATCACATGTTTGCATGTATAGGAGGATTAGGAGGAACTTAACTGAGGACCAAGGGGGAGAAGAAGGGGGGAAATGGTGGGGGAAAGGGAGAGAGGCAAACCATGAGAGACTCTTGAATGCTGACAAAAACTGAGAACTGATGGATGTAGGGGGAAGGGGTGATGGGCATGGAGGAGGGCACTCGTGGGGATGAGCACTGGGTGTTATGTGGAAACTAATTTGACAATAAACTATTTGTAAAAAAAAAAAAAAAAAAAAAGGAATATCTTCCACCACTGAAGCCACTGCTCAGGTGCAGGTGAGTCTGGCTGTTGTTCCTGGAGTTGAAGAGAGAGGGGGTGGCTGAGTCAGCACAGGTTGGGACAGGGAACCAGCAAACACAGACACTCATGGGGGATAGGGCTAGAAAGGAAAAAGAAAAAGCAATTTTTCAGATCACTGAGCACAGAAAGAGGGATTTAGGGATCATCATGTGTCCACAGGGCCTGTCCCTACTGGTGCAGTGAGAGAGGAGCATAAGGAAGACAGGAGTCCAGGCCATGGTGACATAGCCTCTGTTCCCCACATGGAGCTGGGCTGCCTCAGGCTTTTATTTTCCTCCACCCTTTGACACAGAATGGGCTGTCCATGCAAATGGGTCCCATTCAGTAATAGTCCAGTCCCTCCCTGAGCTCTGGTGCTGGAGCTCAGATCACACCACACACTGAGGGGCATGGAGGTTGGACTAAGAGCTCTGGAGCAAGCACTTCCTGAGACAACTCAAAGCCTCCAGATCTAGGCTCCTTTGAGTGATTGGACCTCACTAACCGGCACTGTAGGGACCACAGGGCTGTTCCAAAGCACATCCTATTAATCTCATGTTGAAAAGTGAAAATGAATAAAAACAACTTGTGAAAGATAGCTCCTATGAAGAATAGATTAAATACATACTTTTTTATTTTTATTTTTATTTTTTTAAAATATTTTTATTTACTTCTAAGAGAGAGAGAGAGAGAGAGAGAGACAGCGTGAGCAGGGGAGGGTCAGAGAGAGAGGGAGCCACAGACTCTGAAACAGGCTCCAGGCTCTGAGCTGGCAGTCAGCACAGAGCCCGACGCGGGGCTCGAACCCACGAACCGAGAGATCATGACCTAAGCGAAAGTTGGACGCTTAACCGACTAAACCACCCAGGCGCCCCAAATACATACTTTTTTTAAAAGATACAAAATTGGAGGTACTATAAATATATTGATGTACAGACCCATTTTAATAGAAAAATGGAAAATGTTATTATAGACGCACTCCACAGAAATCCATAAGCTACAGATGTTTTCACCTCTGAAGGAAAGGATTTCTGAGGACACATGGAGCATATATTCTCTCTCTCTCTTTGTCTCTCTCTCTCTCTCTCTCTTTCTCTCTCTCTCCTCTCTCTGGTGTCATGCATTCTGTAGCTTCCTGTCTTCTCTTTCTCTCCAAAAATCATGGTCCACGTGTGCTCATCCAGCCATCCTCAGGGTCAGAATCCCAGGAAGCAGTATCCCCATCAAAAGGAAACACCAGCGACATCAGTGTGACCAGAGTCCTGTCACTAGGGCTGCCAGGGCTTGCCCTGATCACCTTCTCTCCTGAGACAGGTTGATGCTCAGACAGGTTCCTTAGGTGATTCTCTTTCTGTTGGAAGCTCAGGCCCTGACCATCTCTGGGCTCCAGTCAGTGCCTGAGGTTGGTCAGTACTTTGATTTTGGGACAGCAGCTTCAGTGTTGCTCCCACAGAGCTCAAAGCCCAGGGAGATGTATCACACCCTCCCTGTGCTCTTAATGCTGGACTGTACTCCCTCACTTCACCCAGTGACACCTCCAGCCAGGTTAGAGCTCTGCTGAAAATTCTTCTGTCTCAAACCAGGGCCACAATGGCTGTGACATCAGGAACATAGCCCCTTCATCTCCACCTCTCCACCAATCACATATGGGATCTTTGACAAAAGATTCATGTGTCCTTGGTTAATAGAAATTCACTCCTCTAATCATGGGTGGCTGGATGAACTATTGATCTATCTTGAATACGCTGGACATAAAGAACAAAGATAGAGCTGTACTCACCCCAGAGACAAGTCTGACCCCAAATCACTCTTTCCTAGAAACTCTGTGTAGGCTTAGTGGTTGCATCACTGAGATGTCTGCGGGTTTATCTTCACTGAACAGGCTATCTCTGGAATTTCCTTGGACATCATGTCAGACTCACCCAGATAGAGAAAAATCCCACCATACTAAACTCATGTCAAAGAAAATATGATTTTAGAAAAATTTTATAGGAGGCATCTCTTTTTCATTGGTTTTCCATCCATGTTTTTAACCACAATTTTTATCCACATTTTTCTCTGTAATAAGCGCAGATCTGTAAAAACTGTACTATTGTATCTGAATTTTCATAATAACATGGTCATTGAGTTAAATCAGTCTTACTGAGAGAAATTCTGTATAAAGGAAAGCACACACATTTAAAGTGCACACTTGGCTAATTGGTGAATAACACATACACTGTGTCACAGGATCCCTGTCAGAGCATCTGCAGCTGTCACTCCTTCCTTCCTAGAACTTCCTGCAGGTGTTATCCTTGTGCTCTAAGGTCAGTGCCACACAGGACTCCTGAAGACTTGGGTCTGTGTGCTGGGAGAACAGATCCTGGCGGGGGGAATCACTGTATGTAGTATGTGAACAACAGTTGTTTCAAACAGGCAGACATAGTAACAGAGGATGACTTTTAGTGCATAATGCCCCTAGGAATGCACACAACTGTTTCTACCCACTCCCGGAACAGAAGCTTTCCTCTCCTCAGTGCTGTAGGAACCTTAGGAGAAAGTAAGGTCTGGAAGCCAGGGAGGAATCACATAACAGGAAAGTACACAGAATCCTACACAGAAGGGGCCACATGTCCAGTGGTAATCATCTTTGCTCTGGACATGATCCTGATCTAAGTCGAAATTTGGTAGAGATACCACCTCGTTCCTGACCCATGAACCATACAGGGAGCCATGGACTGACTCTCCCTAAGAAGTCTGAGTGGGGCATACAGTCTGGCTTAGGATAAGGAAGAGTACCTAGAGGCACACTTGAACTGACCCTAGTCAGGGGACGCAAGGCAGAGCAATGGGGGCGCAGGAGCTCTCTTTGATGGACTTGGCTACCATTTGAAACAATGGTGTGTCTGAGTCTGAACACCAGGGGGCTCACAGGACCCATTTCTGAGGGTTCAGGGGTGATGAGAACTGAAACCTGCCACCTGTACTGTCAGTGCCCTCTGCACAAGGTTCACAGCTGTGACCTCCTCACCCCTTGGCCTGGAACAGCCCCCTCTCGACCAGCCCCCTGACACCCTCAGGCCCAGTGAGGGGTCAGAGAGTTGGGGGTCTCATTTGCATGGATGGGTCCTCCCTCTCTCAGAGGATGAAGAGGAGAAGGGAGAGGTTAGAGGAGGCTCTGCTCACCTGTGGGGCACAGAAGACAGGATCGGTGATGGTCTCCACCATGGCCTGGTCTCCTTTCCTTCTCACTCTCCTCGCTCACTGCACAGGTGATTGGATGTGGGCACACTGGAAGGGACTCTGGGAGGACAAGTGGGTCTTGCTCCCACTCTCTTGTGTCTAGACCCCAGAATCACCCTCTCTGCGTTTCAACTCCTTCCAGGGTCCTGGGCCCAGTCTGTGTTGACTCAGCCATCCTCAATGTCGGGGTCCCTGGGCCAGAGAGTCACCATCTCCTGCACTGGAAGCAGCTCCAACATCGGTGGTAATTATGTGAGCTGGTACCAACAAGTCCCAGGAACAGCTCCCAACCTCCTGATATATGAAAATAACAAACGACCCTCAGGGGTCCCCGATCGATTCTCTGGCTCTAAGTCTGGCAACACAGGCACTCTGACCATCACTGGGCTGCAGGCTGAGGACGAGGCTGATTATTACTGTTCAGCATGGGATAGCAGTCTCAGTGCTCACACAGTGCTCCAGGCCTGCGGGGAAGTGAGACAAAAACCTGCTGTCCCCTGTGTCGGGCCTTCTTTGTGCCTATCTTCTGCCAAGATAGCTGCTTCCCTCTTTATTTGGCCTTAAACTGAGGCCTGATACCAAACCCAAAGAACCTTCTCTAGTATATGTCCTTTTCCTCTCAATTCTGTCCCCAAAACCTGCCTCTGTAGGCATACATTTTCTGTTATACACAAGCTGAGCAGAGGTTCCTGGATGCGGTGTAGGTTGTCCTGGGGACAGAGTCCCTGAAGATTGTGCCTGTTTGCTAGGGGTACCATTATATAATAGCACAGACTGGATGACTAAGCCAGAAAATACTTATTTTCTCACAGTTTTGGAGCCTAAATGTCCAAGTTCAAGGTGGTGGGGGCAGGTTTGATTTCTCTTGAAGTCTCTCTCCTTGACTTGCAAATGGCTACATTCATCTTCACTCCTCACATGGCATTTCCATGTGGGCTCACCCATCATGTCTCTCCCTCTTCTATAAAGACACCAGCCCTTTATTAGGGCACCTATTTATTAGGGCACCACTCTTATAATCTCATGTATCCATCATTACATCTTTTAATGCCTCATCTCAAATAGTCTCAGTATGGATTAGGATTTCCATACAGGGGCTTAGGGGACACAGATCAGCTCATATCAAGGTGTCAGGACAGACCCAGGGACAGAGAGTACAGCTGTGTCTGATCCAGGATAGGCAATTGTCTGCATGATATGCATGAATGGCATTTACCGAACACTCACTACATGACTTATATTGGATCAGAAGCTTAAGTCACAATGCATAAATGAGAGGGAGTGTCCCCATGCTCAGGGAGCTGACACTGTCTGGGGGAAGAAAGAGAGCACACAAGCAAAACATTGTGCCTCACACCTACTTCTCACATGAGGACAAAATGTCTCTGTAGCCTCAGGTAAAATCCACACAACACACCCTCTGGATGACAGAAACTTGTTCACTAATCAGCAACCTCAGATTTCAGGTGACTTGATCAAATCACCCCACCATCTGCCCTGACACTATTACAGTGACTAGGGAGGGGAATGTTGGATTGATTTGGGTAACATAGTGCATGTCTTGTGGGAATTGAACTCAGTCACTGACAAACCATGTAGCTGGGAGTTTTGGGGTCCAGATCAGAGAAGAAAATGATAGGCATCATCTTCCCTCCATCCTCTGTAATTAAGGTTGGAACATGGTCTTTGGACTCTGGCATCTGGGTAAGAGACACAGTAGGTTCTTCCCATCTCATAAAACTACAGCTCAGGTCCTGTCCATTCCGATGTCTGCACCTGATCAACTCCTGGCCAACACACACTGCTAGGCACAAGGTGCTGATGTGAAATGAAGGCAGTCCCAGGAGAGGTAGAAAGCATTAATCAAATCAAACTATTTGTTTTCTTATATAATTTAAAAATAATTCAAAGTGTTCACTATTTTAATCCTAGCATAAATATGTATAGATTTCTAACAGTTCTATAAGAAAACAATCACAAAATTCAGGAAATAACATAAAAGATAATTTGAATAAATGGTGAAATATTTTATTTCATAAAGACACTGAGTCAAAACTTTAGCAATAAGTAGGCAGGTGATATAAGCACTTTTATTATTGTTTCTTTTTATGTTTCCTTTGAGAAGCCATGTAGGCAGGTACAGGCACAGGCGCCATGCACATCCCTCTGACATTAGAAGGAGGGTGAATATGTGGCAAACACCAGTTACTCCGTGTGCACATAGGATAACTGTTCCTTCTCTGTAACAAACTCTTTGACAGCAGAGGTGAGCCACACATCCAGCCTTCACCATCCTGTATTCAGTGTGCCGACTCAGAAGGCTGCATAGTCTGGTTGTAGCAGTCACTTCTTTCTGCTCTGGAAAGTGTAACAAAATTGGGTGTAAAACATGGACTGGGACCAACAGCTCCCAGGCTGAAGGCCCAGGTGGGTTTCTGGTGACACCCAGTCTTCAGGCTCTTGTCTTAGTTCTCTTGTTCCAATTCAAGCTAGTCAACCTCCATTGCTGCTAAATGTAAAATCGCACAATAGAAATTCTCAACTAGTGAAAAAGAAGGCAAGAGAAGAATAATAAATGAATTCAAACTCTTTAAATCTAAATCTAGTTTTTGAAAGAACAAAATAAAATTAAAAACTGATATTAAATTAAATATACATGATTATATTAAATTATATTGCATATAAATGGACAAATTATTTCAATTAGAAGACATGGATTGACACAACAGAGCAAAAGGACCACTCTTTAAATTAAAATACAAATATGCTGTATTTAAAAGAATGGCAAAAATATAAAAGTATACCTTGCAACAATGAAACAACAGAAAGAAGTAGTTACATAAGTATCTGGCAAAAGACTAAGGGAAGAAGTTTTCTAGAAAAATAATAACACATTTCATAGTGATAAAATAATATATTCAAGAAAAAAGTAAAAAAGTTCATATAATAACATATCTTTGGAAATCTAGATGAAGGATAAATTAATAGTGGTAAAGAGAGAAATAACCAGTCCACAGTTACAGTTGCAAAGGTTAAAACAATGCTCTTAGTATCTGAATGAACACAGAAAAAAAATAGTAAACATAAAAAAGAACAGAAGAATTAACTTTAAAAGAATACAAACCTGGAACATTTTTTTTAGAATAAGACTTGAGTTTATTTTATTTATTTATTTATTTATTTATTTATTTTTACAAATAGTTTATTGTCAAGTTGGTTTCCATATAACACCCAGTGCTCATGCCCACAAGTGCCCTCCTCCATGCCCATCTCCCCCTCCCACCCACACCCATCAGTACTCAGTTTGTTCTCAGCATTCAAGAGTCTCTCATGGTTTGCCTCTCTCCCTTTTCCCCACCATTTCCCACCTTCTTCTCTCCCATGGTCCTCCGTTATCTTCGTCCTAATCCTCCTATACATGCAAACGTATGATATTTGTCCTTCTCTTTTTTTTTTTTTTTTTACAAATAGTTTATTGTCAAATTAGTTTCTACATAACACTCAGTGCTCATCCCCAAAGTGCCCTCCTTCATGCCCATCCCCACCTCCCCCCCACATCCATCAGTCCTCAGTTTTTGTCAGCATTCAAGAGTCTCTCATGGTTTGCCTCTCTCCCTTCCCCCACCATTTCCGCCCTTCTTCTCCCCCTTGGTCCTCCGTCAAGTTCCTCCTAATCCTCCTATACGTGCAAACATATGGTATTTGTCCTTCTCTGCCTGACTTATTTCGCTCAGCATAACACCCTCAAGGTCCATCCATGTAGCTACACATGGCCAGATTTCCTTCTTTTTCATTGCCATGTAGTATTCCATTGTATACATAATCCACGTCTTCTTGATCCATTCGTCTGTTGATGGACACTTAGGCTGTTTCCATGTTTTGGCTATTGTTGAGAGTGCTGCTATGAACATTGGGGTACATGTGCTCCTATGCATCAGCATTTCAATGTCCCTTGGGTAAATTCCTAGCAGTGCTATTGCTGGGTCATAGGGGAATCCTATTGTTAATTTTTTGAGGAACCTCCACACTGTTTTCCAGAGGGGCTGTATCCATTTACATTCCCAGCAACGGTGTAGGAGGGTGCCCGTTTCTCCACATCCTCGCCAGCATCTTGAGTTCTCTGATTTGCTCATTATACCCACTCTGACTGGCATGAGGTGCTATCTCAGTGTGGTTTTATTTGTATTTCCCTGATGAGGAGGGATGCTGAGCATCATTAAATGTGTTTGTTTGCCATCTGGATGTCCTCTTTGAAGAAGTGTCTGTTCATATCTTCTGCCGATTCCTTCACTGGATTCTTTGTTTTTCGGGTGTGGAGTTGGTTGAGTTCCTAATAGATTATGGATACTAGCCGTTTATCTGATATGTCATTTGCAACTATCTTTTCCCATTCCATTGATTGCCTATTAGTTTTGTGGATTGTTTCCATTACCGTGCAGAAGCTTTTAATCTTGATGAGGTCCCAATAGTTCATATTTGCTCTTGATTCCCTTGCTTTGGGGGATGGGACACGTAAGAAATTGCTGCGGTGGAGGTCAAGGAGGTTGTTTCCTGCTTTCTCCTCTAGGGTTTTGATAGTTTCCTGTCTCACGTTCAGGTCCTCTATCCATTTTGAGTTTATTTTTGTGTATGGTGTGAGAAAGTGATCTAGTTTCATTCTTCTGCATGTTGCTGTCCAGTTCTCCCAACACTATCTGTTATAGAGGCTGTCTTTTTTCCATTGGATACTCTTTCCTGCTTTGTCAAAGATTAGTTGGCTGTACACCTTGAGGTCCAGCTCTGAGTTCTCAATTCTATTCCAATTGTCTATGTGTCTATTTTTGTGCCAATGCCATACTGTCTTGATGATGACAGGTTTGTAGTAGAGGCTAAAGTCTGGGATGGTGATACCTCCCGTTTTCGTTTTATTTTTCAGTATTACTTTGGCTATTTGGGGTCTTTTGTGGTTCCATACAAATTTTAGGATGGTTTATTCTAGTTTTGAGAAGTATGCTGGTGAAATTTTGATTGGAATTGAATTGAAAGGGCAGATTGCTTTGGGTAGTGATGACATTTTAACTATATTTGTTCTTCCTATCCATGAGCATGGAATGTTTTTCCATTTCTTTGTGTCTTCTTCAATTTCCTTCATAAGTTTTCATTAGTTTTCATCATACAGATCTCTTATATCCTTGGTTAGGTTTGTTCCTAAGTATTTTATGGTTTTTTGTGCAATTGTGAATGGGATCCATTTCTTGATTTCTCTTTCTGTTGCTTCATTATTGGTGTATAAAAATGCAATCGATTTCTTTACCTCGATTTTGTACCCAGCAACTTTGTTGAATTCATGGATCAGTTCTAGTAGTCTTCTGGTGGAGTCTGTAGGGTTTTCTAGTAGAGTATCATGTCACCTGCAAAAAGTGAAAGTTTGACTTATTCTTTCCAATTCTGATGCCTTTGATTTCCTTTTGTTGTCTGATGGCTGATGCTAGGACTTCCAGCACTATGTTAAACAACAGTAGTGGGAGTGGACATCCCTGTCGTGTTCCTGATCTCAGGGAGAAAGCTCTCAGTTTTTCCTCGTTGAGGATGATATTAACTAGAGACTTCTCAGAGATGGCTTTTATGATGTTTAAGTAGAGTCCTTCTATGTGTAGTTTTTCTAGAGTCTTTATTAAGAAGGGATGCTGTATCTTGTCAAATGCTTTTTCTGCATCTATTGACAGGATCATATGATTTTTACCTTTACTTTTGTTGATGTGATGTATCACATTGATTGCGAATGTTGAACCAGCCCTTTAACCCAGGAAGGAACCCCACTTGATCTTGGTGGATGATTCTTTTCACGTGCTGTTGGATTCGAATTGCAAGTATTTTCTTGAGGATTTTTTATTTGTATTCATCAAGGATATTGGCCTGTAGTTCTCTTTATTTGCTGGATCTCTGTCTGGCTTGGGAATCAGAGTGATGCTGGCTTCATAAAATGAGTCTGGGAGTTTTCCTTCGCTTTCTAGTTTTTGGAATAGCTTGAGAAGAATTGAGATTAATTCTATTTAAAACATCTGGTAGAATTCCCCAGGAAGCCATCAGGTCCAGGGCTCTTATTTTTTGGGAGATTTTTGATAACTGATTCGATTTCTTCTCTAGTTATGGGTGTGTTCAGATTTCCTATCTCTTTACGTGTGAATTTTGGTAGTGAGTGTGTGTTTAGGAATTTGTCCATATGTTCTAAGTTGTCCAAGTTTTTGGCATATAATTTTCATAGTGTTCCCTGATAGTTGCTTGTATATCTGAGGTGTTGGTAGTAATCAATCCATTTTGATTAATAATTTTGTCTATTTGGGTGCTCTCTCTTCTCTCTCTCTCTTTTTTTAAAAAATATTTTTATTTATTTCTAGGAGAGAGAGAGAGAGAGAGAGAGAAAGAGTGAGAGACAGCGTGAGCAGGGGAGGGTCAGAGAGAGAGGGAGATACAGACTCTGAAATAGGCTCCAGGCTCTGAGCTAGCTGTCAGCACAGAGCCCGACGCGGGGCTCAAACCCACGAACCACGAGATCATGACCTAAGCAAAAGTCGGACGCTTAACCAACTAAGCCACCCAGGTCCCCCACTCTTCTCTTTTTGAGAAGCCTGGCTAGAGGTTTGTCGATTTTGTTTATGTTTTCAAAAAAACAACTCTTGGTTTCATTGATGTGTTCAATTGTTTCTTTGGTCTCTATGTTGTTTATTTCTGCTCTGATTTTTACTATTTCTCTTTTTCTACTGGGTTTAGGGCATTCTTGTTGATCTCACCTGTTCTTTTAGGTGAGCTGTTAGATTGTGGACTTGCGCTTTTTCCAATTTCTTGAAATAGGCCTGGAATGCTATGTACTTTCCTCTTAGGACTGCCTTTGCCACATTCCATAGATTCTTGATTGTTGTGTTTTCATTTTCATTTGTTTCCATATATTTTTTAAATTTCATCTCTAATTGCCTGATTGGCCCATTCATTCTTTCGGAGGGAGTTCTTTAAACTCCATATTTTGAAGTTTTCCAGACTTCTTCTTGTGATTGATTTCAAATTTCAAAACATTATGATCTGAGAGTGTGCATGGTATGATCTCAATTCTTTTATCTTGTCCCAGTATGTGATCTTTCTTGGGGAATGTGCCATGCACACTTGAGAAGAAAGTAAATTCCCTGGCCTCAAGATGTAGAGTTCTAAATATAACTGTCAGATCCATCTGGTCCAATGTGTCTTTCAAGTCCATTATGTCTTTAGTGATTTTCTGTTGGTTGACCTATCCATTGGTGTAAGCGAAGTCTTAAAGTCCCCTGCTATTAGCACATTCTTTGCTACAAGCTTGTTTCTGTTTGTGATTAATTGTTTTAAATATTTTGGTGCTTCCATTTTCAGTGCATAGACATTTATGATTGTTAGTTCTTCCTGATGGATAGACCCTGTAATTATTATGTAATGCCCTTCTTCATCTGTTGTTATTATCTTTAATTTAGAGTCCAGTTGGTCTGATATAAGCATAGACTCCGGGTTTTTTTTTTTTTATTTCCAGTAGCATGATATATTTTTCTCCATCCCCTTACTTTTAATCTGAAGGTATCTTCCCGTCTAAAATGAGTTTCTTGTAGACAGCATATAGATGGATTTTGGTGTTTTATCCATTCTGCTACCTATGTCTTTTGATTGGAGCATTCAGCCCATTGACATTCAGTGTTATATTGAAATATGTGGGTTTAGAGTCTTTGTATCTTTTGTAGGGTTCATGTTTGTGGTAGTGTCTCTGGTATCTTTGTTCCTTGCAACCTTTCCTTCAGAGCGTCCCCCTCAGGATTTCTTGTAGGGCTGGCTTAGTGGTGTAAAATTCTTCCAATTTTTGTTTATTTGGAAAGATATTTATCTCTCCTTCTATTTTGAATGACAGGCTTGCTGGATAGAGAATTCTTGGCTGCATATTTTTACTGTTCATCACATTGAAGGTCACCTGCCATATCTTTCTGGCCTGCCAAGTTTCAGTAGATAGGTCTGTCACCACTCTGATAGGTTTCCCTTTGTATGTTAGGGCCCTTTTCTCCCTAGCTACTTTCAGAATTCTCTCTTTGTCCTTATATTTTGCCATTTTTACTATGATATGTTGTGCAGAAGATCGATTCAAGTTATGTCTGAGGGGAGTCCTCTGAGCCTTTTGTATTTCAATGTTTACTTCCTTCCCCAGGTTGGGGAAATTCTCTGCTATAATTTGTTCCAGGACTCCTTCAGCACCTTTCCCTCTCTCTTCCTCTTCTGGGATTCCTATAATATGGATATTGTTCCGTATGACTGTATCGCTGAGCTCTCAAACTCTTCTTTCATGTTCCTGGATCAGGTTGTCCCTTTTTTCCTGTTTCCTCTTTTTCTACAATGGTGTCTTCTAAATCACTTATTCTCCTTTCTGCCTCTTCTATCCGTGCATTGGAGGCCTCTAATTCATTATGTATCTCATTTGTCGCATTTTTAAATTCATATCCTTATTTTTATTCTCCATGTTGTTTGTAGCCATAGTTTCTTTGATGTCCTCTATGCTTTTTCAAGCCCAGCTATTAATTTTATGATTATTGTTTTAAATCTCGTTCAGTTATGCTGCTTATATCTGTTTTGAGTCAATCATTAGCTGTCAATTCTTCTTGGAATTTCTTTGGAAGAGTCCTCTTTTCTCTCATCATTTTAGTTAGCTTTCTGTCTCTTGTTAGTTTTAAAGACTTGTTATGATCTCTGCACCTGTTAGCGCGGCTATATCCAAGAAGACTCTTAGACTCTCCAGGGCCTATCCTTTCAGAGAGTGTTTTCTGAATGGTATCTTTTGGTCTCTCTTGTTGAGACCTTGGTTATTTTATTTTCCTACTCGTAGTGATACTTGGGACTCTACACCACGTGTACTTTGGCGTGTTTCTTGAGGGAGCCTTCGAGAAGAAAACAGACAGACAAACACACAGGGAGCAGGAGCACACAAATACACAGACAAATCCAACTAACATGCAAACCAAGAGGGTAAATGAAAAAGTTAAGAGAAAAGATGGAGGAGGGAAGGCGAATAATAGAGAATAAAAAATACATAAAGTGGTCAAAAAGAAGAAAAGAAAAAGAAAAAAGAAGAAAACCGATGGACAAAGAACGCTTTAAAGCATTTAACCGGATTTCCCAGCTACAGTTAAATAGCCGGGTGTATGCATTGCTGGCTGAAGAGCATAGAGAAAGAGAGAGAAGACAGGGCGGGGATGAGGCAAAATTGGATATAGAATGAACAGGCAGAAGGGATAAGAAGGTTTTTTCAAAGAGCTAAAGGGTAGAATATGGTTGGATAGGTGAGAGAAGGACGCTGGTGTTATCCAGAGAAACTATATAATCTAATTACTCCTGAGAGAAAGAGATGAAGAGGTCAACAGGTGTAGAATGTACATCTACAGAATGGACTAGATGTGACTGTTTAAGCAAGCCGGTGACCAGAGTTAATCAGGTCAGTGTTCCGGGAAAAAAAGAAAAAGAAAAAGGAGAAAGAAAAGAAAAAAATAAGGAGGAGGGCAGCTCTCTAGCAGAGATGGGCGTGGTGTGATCCAATGAGTCAGGCGGGAGTTCTGCCTTGGCGGTTGTGGGGAAGATAGTGGCGGGACTCCAGTCCCTTCTTGAACCAAGCGCTGCACCTCGCTTTTTTGGGTGTGTAAACTCCCCGTGCCAGGGGCGGATCCAAAGTGGATCGCGCTCTTTAACTCAGGCCAGGCCTAGCTTCCAAATCCCAGTCCACGTGCCCCACTGAAATTGCCATATACACCACCTCCCAGGCGATCCCCTCGGGGCATTTTCAAGCCTCTTGTCTAGCCCTATGGATGGAGCCAGAATCGCTGCTACCTTCTCTTCCCAGTCGGGTTGGCGAGCAAGGATGGGGGTTTGCCTGGGGGGCATGCAGGTCTGCTGGAGATAGGGCAACCAGGTCCCTCTGTGTTTCGTCACCCAAAACACAAACTTGCAGGCAAATCTCCCAGTTTTAAGCCCTTCGCTTTCCCTCTAGAGGTCCAGCGAAGCCAGAAGCACGGATGCCCTGTACGCGCGCGGTTCCTCCAGTGGTCCAGCCAGCCAGGAGCACAATGGTGTGGTCCGCGCGCAGCCTCTCTAGGGATCCAGCCAGCCAGGAGCGCAATGCAGCGGTGCGTGCAGCCCCTCAGGGATGAGTTGGTGCGCCGGGAATTGGCGTACAAGGATTTGGTGCGCACGGTCCTTCTGTGCCCCGAGCGGATGCTTTTCTGTTTCCCAGTGACAGGGACTATATCTTGAGTAGTTTAGGACTCTGTCTTTTTCCTCTTTCACTCCCTGCAGAGGGGGATCGCCCCCGTCCCTCGAGTCTCCGATCCCGGCCCAATTTTATCTTCCCCAGTTCACAGTCACGTTAGGAGGCTTTTTCAGTGGATTCTACATCCTTTTTCTCCCAGTCTCTTGGGTTCTGTAAGGTTTCCTATGGCTTCAGATTTTTTCCGTGTGAGATATGGGGGTGATTGCAATGTACGGAGCTCCCTACCTCTCTGCCATCTTGCCCCTCCTCCACAAATATGGAACTTGAGGGTGTTATGCTGTGCAAAGTAAGTCTGGCAGAGGACAGATACCATATGTTTTCACTTATAAGTGGATCAGGAGAAACTTAACAGAGGACCATAGGGGAGGAGAAGGGAAAAATAGTTGGGGAAAGGGAGGGAGGCAAACCATGAGAGACTCTTGAATACTGAGAACAAACTGAGGGCTGATAGGGGTGTGGCAGAAGGGAAGGGTAGTGATAGACATGGAGGAGGACACTTGTTGGGATGAGCACTGGGTGTTATATGGAAACCCACTTGACAAAGTATAAAAGAAAAAATAAAGGAATATGGATCTGAACATTAATTGCTTAAGTAATTAAATAAAGACAGGAGTTTAAAAATGAGGATTTCCTTATGGATTTTTATCGTTTATCTTGGTTCTGTGAGCAATGGTGCCTCCTGTATTTCATTCTCATTCCTTTTCTTATCATCTTGTCACCTCTATTATCCTTTCCTTATCACTTTTCCCAGAGCTAGTGCACATCACAGGATGCTTCTGTCACTATAATGTGAAGGACTGACTTGGAAGCATCTCATATTCCTGCTCCCATGTATTTCCTACATGCCCAACTTTACATATATGACACCAGCCTCTTAAATGTCCTCAACCTTATTTTTCTCTCTCATGTCCTGTATGACAGTGAACACAACTGGAACCCTCAACCTCACCACCATCATTTCCGTAGCCCTCAGTCCAGGACACAGTCATCTCTCCGTGTTCTTCCTTTTGGGCACTATTCACTCATCTTCCTCCACCAGATTCCCTGTATAATCAGCCCTCAAACCTGACATGGCCTTATCTGCTCTGTTGTCCTCAGGCACATTGTTGGAACTGACATCGCAATGTCTTTCTATAGTATAAGTTTCTTAGCTGGTAATAGTGTATAATAGATTTGAAATTTGCTGAAAGGATAGATCTTAAGAGTTTTCACAAAAGAAAGAGAGAAGGAAAGAAAGGAAGAAAGGAAGAAAGGAAGAAAGAAAGAAAGAAAGAAAGAAAGAAAGAAAGAAGACAAGGAAAAGAAAGGAAAGGAAAGGAAAGGAAAGGAAAGGAAAGGAAAGGAAAGGAAAGGAAAGGAAAGAGAGAGAAAAAGAAGGAAAGGAGGAAGGAAGGAAAGAAAATAGAAAAATGGCATGCATATGAAGTGATCGATCTATTGATTAGCTTGATTGTGGTACCTCGCAATTTTAATGTATATCCAATTGCCAAGCTGTGCCTTAAGTGCATACAATTTGTGATTCTTTATTATATTTGGAAAAGCTGAAAAAATAAAAAAATTAATAATAAAATAATAAGTTACATTTCAACAATCATTTCTCCTGTTTTCAATCTCTGTGAAATCCAGATAAAAACCCAAGCACCTCTCTCTGACAGAAGTACGTTTATATTTAGCCTTCAGATTTCCTCACCCACTATGCACTTACAGTCCATTTGCTCAAAGCGACTGCTAAATGATGTAGTTTTCGTTCCCTCAACACATCATATCTGATGCTCCTCCCCTTCCAATTCCATCTTTCTTCTGGGAAGGTGGTGCTCTTTATTTCTCCTGCTGTAGGAACACTGGTCCCAACTCCACACCCAGAGAACTGTTCTCCTCCCTCATGGGGCCCGGCTGAGAGAACAGCTCAGGCATGTGCTTCCAGAAACTGCTACATTCTCAACTCACAGCAGCCCCACTCATGATGCTTGGTGGTGATTCACCCCGCTTCCTTCTCTGACAAACCCAGAAGTTCTCAGTGGGAAAGCTGTTTGTAATATTAGGTACCTTGGGCACTAGGGCATGTGGCACATGGATGCTTGTGGTCTGACAGTGGCCAGGCTGTCAGGTCAATGCCCCCGACATTCTTTCTAGTGACAGACTGAAGTTTGACCAGTGGGCAGCAGGGAGCACTGTTGGCCTCCCCAGGAAGAACACAATGAGGAGCTCCTGCCATGTAATCTTTAACCCCCTGAGGACTCTCAGCCTTTAGCCTCTGTGTGCTAGTGGGGACTCAGCAGCTGTGTCCCCTCTGGCTGGGAGGGGTCTCCTGCTCACAGGTATGTGGAAGGTCCCAGAAGCTGCTTCCTCGCTGGTGCATCCCAGGAGACAAACTCTGAGTCTCTGTGGAAATTAGCCCCCTCTTTCTTTTTTTTTTTTTTTTTATTTTTTTTTTATTTTTTTTATTTTTATTTTTTTTTCCCCAAGATAATTTTTTATTTATTTTTTTTTATTTATTTATTTTTTTTACAAATAGTTTATTGTCAAATTAGGTTCTACATAACACTCAGTGGTCATCCCCAAAGTGCCCTCCTTCATGCCCATCCCCCCCACCCCCCCACATCCATCAGTCCTCAGTTTTTGTCAGCATTCAAGAGTCTCTCATGGATTGCCTCACTCCCTTTCCCCCACCATTTCCCCCCTTCTTCTCCCCCTTGGTCCTCCGTCAAGTTCCTCCTAATCCTCCTATACGTGCAAACATATGGTATTTGTCCTTCTCTGCCTGACTTATTTCGCTCAGCATAACACCCTCAAGGTCCATCCATGTTGCTACACATGGCCACATTTCATTGTTTCTCATTGCCATGTAGTATTCCATGGTATAGATAAACCACATCTTCTTGATCCATTCGTCTGTTGATGGACACTTAGGCTCTTTCCATGTTTTAGCTATTGTGGAGAGTGCTGCTATGAACATTGGGGTACATGTGCTCCTATGCCTCAGCATTTCTGTATCCCTTGGGTAAATTCCTAGCAGTGCTATTGCTGGGTCATAAGGGAGTTCTATTGTTAGTTTCCTGAGGAACCTCCACACTGTTTTCCAGAGGTAGCCCCCTCTTTCTAAGGGACTAAGCTGAGACTTCAACTAGAAGACAGGGAACAAATCTGTGTGAACAGCCCCTCCCCATAAGTCCATGGAGAAGATAAAAGACTGGTACATGGCATCCCTGACCTGGGGCTGCAGGAGGAGCCTCCATCATGGCCTGGACCCTTCTCTTTGTGCTCCTGGCTCAAGCACATGTAGGGAAATCCCCAGACCCAGGAACCTCTTGAGTGGGTGTCACCCTCACTACACAGACCACCAAGCAGCTTAACCTTTCCCCTGCCCCGTTTCCCATGATTGTCTGCGTTTATAGGTTCCCTGTGCCAGCAGGTGCTGATCCATCCACCCTCCTTCTAAGGACTTCCACTGGGTTCCAGACCCATGAGGGAGTGAGACAAAAACCGGGCCTGTGCTCTCCTGACCTGACATGCTACCCACAATAGGGGCTCTACCAAGCCTAGCTCAGGAGGTCGCTTACAATGTTATTTCTTCTGTCAGTACCTGATTTTCCTCAGACCACTTGTTCTGACAGTATCACTTACTTTTGTTCAGATCAAATTTTGGATTAATCCTTTGATAATATAGTCTTACTCTGTTAGTGTTGCACTGGAAGTAATAATAGAAATTAATTACTCTTAAGTAAGAGATTAAGAGATTAGTAGCTCTTAATGAAGAAATTGGATATGAGTGAAAATGCTGATTCAGGCCATGCACTCTGAAGAGTGTAGAGTGACTCAGATATGCTTCTGTCCTAAGTGTTTCAGTTTGGGGTTGGAATGCAGTCCCCACATGCACGTTGGAATTGTATTCTCTCTTCTAGCAATCAACCTCCAAAAATGAAAATTAGAAATAATACCATTTACAATAGCATCAAAACTATGAAACATGTAACGAAAAATCTGAAAGAATTTGAGACTTTTATGCACTAAATGTTATAAACCATTCAAAGAGAGATTAACAATTTAAATAAATGTACAGATACATCTAGCTTATGGGTCTAAATATTCAACTTGGAGAAGACGTCAGTTCCCCCAGAATTAACCAATCCAATCATTATAATAGCTTTGGTAAAATGTCCTTGAAATGATGGGGAATTTTAGAAAAGAAAAAAAGTAGAAACGCTGAGAAAACATGTGACTGGAATCTAGCCCTGGGAGAATCCTGCCCTGTATCCTCAGGGTCGGCCTGCCTCTGAGAAGGATAAGGCACAGGAAATTGGTTTGAAGTCAGAAGAAACAAATCAGGGTGAGAGCACAGATGCAGTGTCAATCAAGGACACAGACTGGGTGGAGGATCCTCTGTCCTGAAGGCTAATGCACAGAGTATGGGTGCAACAGGCCTGGTGCTGGGGCCCATGGGCAGTAAATATTTATGGTGCCCCACACAGTGTGCATCTGGGGCGATGATTTCTGTTCACCACTTTAATTAAATTTTTTAATTTTTATTTATTTTTGAGAAAGATAGAGTGCAAGCAAGGGAGGGGCAGAAAGAGAGAGACAGAGACAGACAGACAGAATCTAAAGCAGGCTCCAGGCTTCAAGCTGTCAGCACAGAGCCCGATGCAGGGCTTGAACCCACAAACAGTGAGATCATGACTTGAGCCAAAGTTGGACACTTAACCGACTGAGCCACCAAGGTATCCCAGAAAATCCTCATTAATTATGGTGAAATGAAAAATAAAAATAAAACTCACAATTAAAACCTCTGCATCATCAAAAAGGAAACAGAACAAGAAAACTCAGGG